TATCCCGCTGTGGATGAGGAGTAAGCCTTGGGCAGGCTTCTTATTAATCCTTCTACATGCTTTTGTGGACCGTGATCGTATCTTGGCACTATACTAAACTATGTTGGAAACTTTACTTTCAAATTTAATTTGCTTCCGCTTTTATCTATCAAACTCGATTTGTAATAACTTTTATTCATACTCTGATGATGAAAATGTATCTGTGAACTTTATGTAATATGTGGCATTTATATTGAATCATGTACGATCTTGGTTGTTGTAAATCATTTATCGAGACCCATCGTGGTACTCGACGGACTACCGGGTTTATATGGGTTCAAGTATGACAGTGCGACTGCTTGCGGGACGCCATTGTACTTGTACTCTTATAAATTGGTCGGTTCTGCGACAAGAGGAACCACCCACGTTCGCGCTAGCCGAGCGCGATGGAAACTGGCGACAAGCAATGCTAGAGGAGATGAAGGCGATCAAGGAAAACGAGACTTGGCAGCTCGTCGATCCACCCCCAGGATGCCGTCCGATCAGCCTAAAGTGGGTATAAAAAGTCAAAAGGGACGAGCTCGGCGCCATTGTCATGTACAAGGCGCGCCTCATCGCCCAAGGCTTTGTCCAGCGCGAGGGCATCGATTTCGAGGAGGTCTTTGCACCAGTAGCGCGCATGTAGTCGGTCCGTTTGCTACTTGCTTTAGCGGCAGCAAAGGACTAGCGCGTCCATCACTTGGACGTTAAATCGGCCTTCCTCAACGGCGTAGTGGCGTAAACGGTCTTCGTCGAGGCAACCTCCGTGGTTCATTGTTCAGGGAGAGGAGCACAGGGTGCTCCATTGCATAAGCGCGCTCCACTGGTGAGGCAAGCCCCTCGAGCATGGAACGCCAAGCTTGACACCACCTATTTGGGTGAGCTTGGGTTTTGAGAGGTGTGCAACCGAGCACGCGCTCTACACGCCGACGACGGGGAAGGAAGAACTCGTGGTCGACGTGTATGTGGATGACTTAATCATCACCAGCGCGCGCGGAGGATATCAACGACTTCAAGCGAGAGATGGCAGCTCGTTTCTGAATGGGCAATCTCGGCGCTCTCTCCTACTACCTCGGCATCGAGGTGAGACAGGGAAAGGAGGAACTCATGCTCGGGCAAAGCGCGTATGCCTCCAAGCTGTTGGAGAGGAGCGGCATGGTGGAGTGCAAGCCATGCGTGACTCCGATGGAGGAGCGGCTGAAGGCGACGAAAGAGGCGACACCGCGGTGAAAGTAGATGCAACACTCTACCGAGAGCATCGTCGGGCGGTCTGCTCTGCGCTACCTAGTCCACACAAGGCGGACATTACGTTCGCCGTGGGCTCGTCGATCGCTTCATGGAGGATCCCAGAGAGGATCACTGGGCTGCGGTGAAGCGGCTACTACGCTACGTCAAGGGGACGGTGAATCATGGAATCATCTTCCCGAAGACCAAGGGAAGTAGGCTGCAGCTCACGGTATTCGCCGTCTGAGATATGGCGGGGACATCGACGGACGACGGAGCACCTCTGGCGTACTTGTCTTCCTCGGTCGGCCCCAATTTCATGGTGTCATTTGAAAAGCGAAGGTGGTGGCGCTATTCACGTGCGCGAGGCGAGTATGTAGCGGCTGGCCCACAATGGCGTGCCAAGTTGTTGTGGCTACTGCTGCCTTTGGTGAGCTAACCGGCGTGGAAGCTCACCCACCAAAGATCGATGGTGGACAACCAGCCCGCCATCGCCCTCGTGAAGAATCTGATTCTACACGACTGGAGTAAACACATCGACGTGAAGTTCCACTTCCTTAGGGAATTTGTGTTGATGGAGGCGGATCGTCATCGAGTTTGTCAAAACTGGTCGTCAACTCATGGACGTCCTCACCAAGCCGCTTTCGGACGACTTGACTCACGGAGCTGAAGGAGATGATCGGCATGGAGGGTGCAAGGGTTAGCGATAAGATTAGGGAAGATTGTTAGCTAATCTCGCCACCTTGTGTGAAACACAATGAGAGGAAGGCGGCGCCGACTTTGCCCTTGCCTGCTTTATATCTGACAAGAGTCATTGCAGTGCAAAGTAGCGCCGCGGCAAATCACTCGAATTAAATCATAAGGCCTTCGAATATGTTTGTCTAGATTTCCTAAAATGATAACTCTGTTCTCATATGTTTCAAACAAACTTCCTAATTTAACATGTGCACTCATACCGCATAGATGCATGCCGTGTGCTGGTTTTATTTTGGAGTTAATAATCTATTCTTAAAAGCCCTTAGAGCATCTCCAAGAGACTAGTTAAATTTGGCTATTGAAAAGTTAGAAAATTGACTCTCCAAATCAATTTAGGTACTCAAAATCTTTACTTGCTACAGTAGACTCTCTAAAACCGGTCGTGTATTTTTTTTAACATGCCACGTCGTTTGTGGTTTAACTAAAATAGGCATCTTTGCATGCGGGAAGAGGACGCCACATGCGGGGAAGGAGCTGACGAGCGCATGAGGAAACTGTGAATCTGCGATAGCGAGCTATTCTGACTATCCAAATATCGCAAGCAAAAATTCCGGGATGGCTAGCGACTAAATTTAGAGAGCAGGTTAGCCAATCTGTTGGAGACGTTTTTTATTGAATAGTAGCCATATTTAGCTTTACAAAACAAATTAGATGATCTCTTGAGATGCTCTTCGTATGTAAAATGAAAACCTTTACTCATCCCTAACCAGCTTGGGCTGATTCCAGCCCAATCGGCTCCCCTTCCGGCTCACTTTGGCAAAGCTCCAAGCCTTGGCCACGAGTACAGCCTAGCAACGTGACCAGGCGACCTTCCCTCGGATGTTTCCACCCCTCCTACCGAGAGCTGTAGCTCTCGGCAAAGCTGACGCGACGTCTTTGACTCCCTCCGTCCTCGTTTTTCCTCGAGAGCTCGCGGGCCCTTGCCTAGAGCACCATCGCAGCGCTCCAGCCTCATTTCAACAAGCCAAGAGCGCATTGAGCACCATCGCACATGGCCGCACCTTCCGATCACACCCAATTTGTTTTTTATTTTGTCACACCCTTTTTTTGGATTTTGAGATGTCAGTACCAAGTGCAATTAAATCAATGGTTTTCTCAATTTTTTACACCCTGTTCACTGGTTGGTGCTGGTGCTGGTTTGGGCCAGATAGATTTGGAATTTTAGTTTAGGTAAACATTTCCTAAATCAAATAAATCAACCATAAGGTATAAAAAAATGCTTGTAGCATTTGATGCTGATGCGCTGTTTTAATTGAGTGCTATTGTGTGGGCAGATTTCAAATATGGTCGGCGGTCTGCAACACTCTACCGGAGCATCGTCGGCGGTCTGCGCTACCTAGTCCACACAAGGCCGGACATTGCGTTCGCCGTGGGCTACGTCAGTCGCTTCATGGAGGATCCCAGAGAGGATCACTGGGCTGCGGTGAAGCGGCTACTATGCTACGTCAAGGGGACAGTGAATCATAGAATCATCTTCCTGAAGACCAAGGGAAGTAGGCTGCAGCTCACGGTATTCAGCGATGCAGACATGGCGGGGGACATCGACAGACGATGGAGCACCTCTGGCGTACTCGTCTTCCTCGGGTCGGCCCCAATTTCATGGCTGTCGCTGAAACAGAAGGTGGTGGTGCTATCTACGTGTGAGGCAGAGTACGTAGCGGTGGCCACAGCAGCGTGCCAAGTTGTGTGGCTACACCGGCTGCTGGGTGAGCTAACCGGCGTGGAAGCTCACCCACCAGCACTGATGGTGGACAACCAGCCCGCCATCACCCTCGCGAAGAATCCAGTTTTGCACGACTGGAGTAAACACATCGACGTGAAGTTCCACTTCCTCAGGGACTATGTTGATGGAGGGCAGATCGTCATCGAGTTTGTCAAAACTGGTCGGCAACTCGCGGACGTCCTCACCAAGCCGCTCGGATGACTTCGACTCATGGAGCTGAAGGAGATGATCGGCATGGAGGGGGTGCAAGGGTTAGCAGTAGGATTAGGGGAAGATTGTTAGCTAATCTACTGCCACCTTGTGTGAAACACAATAGAGGAAGGTGGCGCCGACTTTGCCCCCTGCTGTAATATAGTAGCCGCTGCAGGTGCAGGCGCCGCATGGCTCACCTGCAGCACTGTAGGCACATGCAGTGGCCGGCGCAGAGTCAGCCCTATATACTTATCTAGTTACTGTTACAGCATGTGCGCTGTACTTTAGTTAGATAGATAGAGTTGTATAAATAGGGCACCAAGGCAACTTAGTAAAGAGAGCTCAGATTTGCCATCACACAGACAGGGCCTCGGCCAACGTTGTTGTCTTGTATTGTGCGTGCTTGCTCTGTTCTTCCTTCTTCTTCTAGCTCGATCCGTAGTGTGTGGGTACGGACACAACCGGTATAGTGGTCTGAGAGACTAGTAGTCTGGTCTGGGAGACTAGTGGTCTGAGACTAGTGGTCTGGAGACTAGTTCACTATCGTCAGTCGGTGATCCCGTGGGCCAACACAACACACAGCCGGAAACAGCCAACTTCCTGCTAGTCATATAATTACATCAGGGAAGACTGAACTACGGGAGGAGCACCATCCACTTTACTCCTCAACAGCCAATCGCTTGAGAGAGCATGGAGAGAAGGGGTTGACAAAAATTTCCAGCTGGGCGATTGCCAGAACCACCATAATTCAGATGTCTGCATCACAACAGACCATGTGTTAGAGTCAAAAGATGCAAAGCTGAAAGACAGGGTATTGAAATGAGTAGCAGTGCGGTCAGTGGTGAGTAATTGACATCTCAAGTCGGTTGTTTCCTAAAATGATTTCATCCATGGAGCATAGTTTGGAACGTGAATAATATATGTACTAGATGACAGGGGTTTGAAACAGCTGCTAATTTTTGACAGCGCATATGCATATCTTCATTGAGAACGCAACGATGTGTAATAATAAAATAAAAACAAAGAATAAGCAAGTCACCATCACCTCCTAGCAAGCTCAATCAGCAAGTTGGTAGATATGCGGAACTCATTCACTAAATGTTATGTCCTGACAAAGCTGAACAAAGACGCCTGATGTCAACAGAGTTCCTCGAAACCCTTCCTCAACCTGTATCATATCAGCCTTCTGTTCTGAAATTTCATCTGAAACATATAAGCAGCAAACGCTTAAAACCATTAGCATCCTCTTTTTTTTTTTTTTTTAAAAAGGTTTGCCACATCATTTTTTGTTATTATTTACCTGCTATGTCACGATTCTCGTAGATTTCAGAGTCTCTGACCCAAAGAATATCCCCAGGAAAAACACCCTTATCAGAAAGAGTAGCCAGGTCATCTTCAATCTCAACAGAGCCTTTGTGAAGTTTCTGGTTCTCCTTAACAATCTAAATGCAACAAGAGCACAGGTAGGCTATTTGAATAATTTGGAGCAGTTGAAAAAAACATGCATGAATAAAAATAGAAAACAAGAAAGCACATCCCATAGCTAGATGAAAAGGCAAAAATGAATGCAAGTCCCTTTTGAGATATGGAGAAGGAAACAAATATAGTACAGATCATGGTTTCAGAGGCAACTAGGAATCCAGGCAAGAGCTGGGTGTGACAAGGCGCCACTGTTCCCCAAGGTGACCTGGCCAGTTGGGTATGCCTGGACGCCTAGGTGACACCTTTGAAACAGGGGTACCGATTAGGAACTGTGATCACAGAATTTGAGATTCAGTGTGCATACCCCTAAAGATTCCCATATCATGAGTTTCAACTGATAGATGGATGTAGAACCAGAGACTTTCAAACTGATTGAGTTTCCAGAAGTTGCTCTCCGGGAACGCTTTGAAGTCCGACGATCTGCTACAACAACAGCTTTACTACATGCTTCTTTAATACACTTTGGTGCTTCTTTCCCACGGACAAAATAAACATGGATGTCTTCATTCTGATAATTAAGTTTCTCCACCAATGCACAGCTCTCTCTTTCTCCAATACATTCTTCACAAACCTAGCATACAAAATTCATCAATAGAGCTGAAACGGGGACAAATATGGAAAATAATATACTCATTACATGTAAATCATTTCAGTGCCTGCAAGCATTAGATCAATGAGAAGTCTGTCTGAACTTGGAAGAAACTACTACAAGACCTTTTTGAAGAAGCACATAGCTAAAGATCCCAGTTTCATCAAAAGAACATCATTTGAAGAAGCACATAGCCAAAGAACCCACACACCCAAAGGATCACAAAATTACATACACGCCCTTTTGTTACAAATACCCACAACCTGGAATGACCTAGACCCTAGGAACGAGGTCTGACAAGAAAGACATACCACGCGCTCCAGGCATTGCCCAAAGTTGGGCCTCCACCTCAGCAAGAAGCAAGGCTGTAGCCATATTGGCAGCAAAGCTATCGAAGACACATTTGGTTCCTATGTTTCCAGTGTCCAAGCCCCTAGGATAATGAGTTGATGCCTCGTTACAATTGTCCATCGACGATCTCATCAGCTCTGTTCCACCAGTCCTCAAAAGAACCAGAATCGCCTTGCCTTGCACCGGCGATGAGGACGTCGACGCTGCCAGTGGCCCTCCTCTCCATCCATGGCCTGGGTGGCAGCCGGAGACATGGCAGGTGAGGCAGATATGCAACACCAGACCGACACCCTACCAACAGCTGAAGCTGCACGAGGCACCATCAACGTGTTGGCCAGGGATTGGGAGATGCGGCGCCAAACTGACGTCTTCGACCTGGCCCGCGGAGTGCGTGCTTCTAATTGGGTGGGGCAACTAGATGCACGATGGCCCAGACGCCAGCAGCGGAAGCAGCATGCACGACGCCAACACTCTAATGCTGGGTGTGAAGTAGAGAAGCAGTTGAAACATTTGTTTCTTAAATTGGCAGGCACTGGACATCAAGAACCATGCGCAGAACGATGAACATCAGCCACACAGGTCTGACAACGACCTACCGTGTACCAGCCATGGAGCAGACGAAACCGAGGACCACTGATCTGCGGCGGCGCTGCGGATGTTGAGGCACCACGGCAGGCGGCGCTACCGCATCCAGCGAGGGTGTCCTGCTCCCAGGAGACCCTGCGCCCGTAGCAGGAGGAGGGGAGGAGAGCAGCACATCAATGCCCTGTTCGCTTGGCCGTAATTTTTCGACCAACGGTATTTTTCTCTCACAATAAATCAGCTAATAGTATGATTTATCGGCGAAGCGAACAGAGCACAGGGCAGGAGGGTGGCAACACAGGACTAGCCTCCTCGAAGTCGACGGGAGAGGAGGGGCCGTCGTCGCTCCAGCACTCCAGCCTAGATCAACAAGCAGGCTTGAACGGGCGAGCAAGAGGTGATAGGGACGAAGGGGACAACACCTGGGAGGAGGGGAGGGTGGTCGGCTCTGCAGAGGGCATGGCCTTGGTGGTGCCTGCCGGTCCGTGGTGGACACCGGCGGCTGGCTGTGGGGAGGTGAGGTGCCAGGAGGGAGGGGAGAAGAGACGTTAGCCATCCCCGGATATTCCAACCAATTACCCAACTACCTATTAGCATGTCGATTCAAATAGCCCCTTGCTAATAATTAGGTAGCAATAATTAGCACCTATTATCTATCATCTGCCAAACTCTTAGCACTAGTGGATCCAAACATGCCTTAACTTACATGATACAAGATACATTGATACTTCTAACAAAGAAGATATCTATTGCTCTGGATTGTATGGGCATGATAGTACTGACAATTAAATTCTTACTTTAGCTAGCAACATATACAAGTCCGTGCATCATATATATGATACAACTCCTACAAGGCCTTCCTAACAACATTTTCTCAGGCCTCAACCATGGGAACCACTAATACTAGAATTCAGTGATACATCTAGAAGAGCTAGTTTACCTCAGGGTCAGTTCTGATATAGGGTTCTCTGGCTCCCAAATCATCATTTGTGTCATCAAGAGACTTGCCTCGATCTCCATCCACAATTGGCGTTGCTTCAGATGGTCCATGCAATTTGTCTTGAGAGCTCTTGCTGAAAGCAATTTCAGCAGATATACCTTTTTCAGGTCTGGCACTCCACTCCTCAGAGAATAATTTCCGATCGTACTATGGGATTACTTGTCGGGGACTAATACTAGGGTACCCAAAGAGAAGGAGCTAATAACTATCAACATTGATTCATCCGAGCAGTCAAACCATCAACATTGATTCATCCGAGCAGTCAAGAGCGCGACTACAGCTCTAACCGACCCCCAGGTGCGCAAGCTCCGCCTCGCCTGGCCTCTGGGGGCGGGCTCCGCCTCACCCGACACCGAGGCCGTGGGCTCCGCCTTGCTCGACGTCTGAGGACGGGCTCCGCCTCGCTCGACACCGAGGCTGCGGACTCCGCCTCGCCCGACCTATGAGGGCGGGCTCCGCCTCGCTTGGTCTCTGGGGGCAGGCATCGCCTCGCCCGACACCGAGGCCATGGGCTCTGCCTCGCCCGACCTCTGAGGACGGGCTCTGCCTCGTCCGACACCGAGGCCACGGGCTCCGCCTCGCCCGACGTCTAAGGGAGGGCTCTGCCCCGCCCGACACCGAGGCCAGGGGCTCCGCCTCGCCCAACCTCTGGAGGCGGGCATCGCGTCACCCGACACAGAGGCTGTGGGCTTCGCCTCGCTCGACCTCTGAGGGCGGGCTCCACCTCGCCCGACACCGAGGCCGTGGGCTCTGCCTCGCCTGGCCTCTGGGGGCGGGCTCCGCCTTGCCCGACACCGAGGCTGCGGGCTCCGCCTCGCCCGGCCTCTGGGGGCGGGCTCCGCTTCACCCGACCCTTGGGTCTGCTCTCCGCCTCGCCCGATCTCTGAGGGCGGACTCCGCCTCACCTGACCTCTGAGGGCTGGCTCCGCCTCGCTCGACCCTTGGGTTTGCGCTCCACCTTGCCCGGCCTCTGGGGGGACTCCGCCTCGACCAACCCCGAGGCCGGTGGATCCATCTCGCCTGATGAAGACCCATACCACCGCCAACCACTCCAGGTCCAAGCGAATGGGCCTGGGTCAAAGCTCTGACACTAGGGAGATGACCGGCACGCCCCGATATAACCTATGGTCGTGACAGGCCATACATGGGGATTCACATCAGGAACATCATTGGGTGTACCGGTGCAGTTCTGCCTAACCCTCGTACGAGCACTGACAGGCACGTCAATTCACCACGATGTCCGCCAGGACGGAGTGGAGCGCCACGACCGGGAGACGACGCCTGCACATGGCGCCAATGATGGATAGGGCCACGACGTGGAGCAGTCCCTATTGACGTCTACAGGGTCGGCGGGACCCGCGTGAAGGAAAAGAAGGACCCGGCGATCCTGGAGGTCTTCTTTTCCTTCTCATTCTCCTCTTTTCCCTCCACTATAACCCATGTTTCCCTTGGCCTATAAAAGGGAAAGCAGGGCGTCCCATAAGGATCATCGTAACTCATCGCATCAATTGGGACTCGAATCCATCGAACCCTGAACCGACCAGAACACACAAGCACACAGCTGAGAAGCGACTGAGCTCTCGGCACCCATTCGCTCCTCTCACTAGAGACTTGGGACTAGTCCCTCTCTCGACCGTTTGTAACCCCTGCTATGAACTTTCAGTGCTAGTAACACGAGCAGCAACAACGAACTTGACGTAGGGACATTCTGCTCGAACCAGTATAAACCTTGTGTCCTCGTAGCGCACCATCCGAGCCAGACGTGCAATATTAGAAATTTACTAGTCGGTGGCAACTCGAAACACCGACAGTTGGCATGCCAGGCAGGGGCCTTTGGCACGTATCGACATCCACACCAGGCCTTGGATGGCTAGTCACAACCTCAGCTGGGTCCTAGGCACGCACGTGCGCTTCGGGGACCTAGACTTCGTCGTCACGATAGAGGGAGAGTTGGCAATGGCTCCCGTCATCGTCCGACCTCTTCACTACGCTGGCCTCAACACGATCACCGAGGCACTTGAGGAGCTGCAGCTGCACGCACCGGAGGCCCGCACCCCCGGATGCGACCAGCTCCTTGACTTCGACTATGGGAGGTTAGAGCGCTAGCTCAGCGCCTTCCTGGGACCCCAACCGTCCTGGGAGGACTTGCGCCACCTCAGCTTCTCATTCGCCAATGTCATGGCGTAGCTTGCCGGAGGAGAGCCGCTCTCTTCGAAATACCCCATCCGGAGTGCCATGACAGTGCTCCCGTTCGGTCTCTGCAACGCCACAGAGACCATTGTCCACCTTGTGGCTCAACGTGCGCCTCCTTTCCCCGCGAACAACGAGTTTGTAGGGATGACCGAATATGTCGCGAAGTCTTTCCATGACCTCCTCACGGAAGAAACGGAGTCACCCTCTCGTGAATGTTTTATGGCAGGTACCCCCGAGGGACATGTCAAAAGCATCCATGAGGAGGAGGCTACCTCGACAAATGACCTCAACGATGAGATTGAGGGGGATACAGGGGCTCCACCCTGCTTACGGATAGAGTAGCTGAACGCCTGGCACCAAGAGCTTGAGAAAGCACGACTGCAGCTCGAGCAGGAACGTACAAAGATCGATTGAGAGATCAAGCATCACAGACACAATGGGCGCGTGCGCGCCATGGTCCGCGATGTGAACTGGAGGATCATCGAGGACGATGAAGCCTTCCCACACTTTGCCCGAGCAAGCTAGAACATCGCTGCTGTGGCGGTCTTGCTCCATGGGCTTTTGAGGCCCGCAACGCTCGAGGATCATCCAGCCCATCGAGGGATTCGCACGCTACTCGAGCATGCAGTGGTGCAGCAAGCCAAAAGCTCGTTGTCCCGACGACGCGAGCTCGACGCCCGCCAACGCACGCCCTCGAAGCGACCCGACAAGGACGCATCAGTCCACCAGGCGCCGCAAGGTGGCAGGCTGCGCACCATGGTCCCAGTGCATGAGCGTCTCGGCCGCAATCGTGACGTGTACGACACCCTCGACGCCCGTAGGCGTACCCATGGCGATGTGGGGGAGGGGGCCAGCCACGGCTACCACCCTCATCATGGCAGATGCTACGATAGTGGCGAGGACCAAAGCCCGAGCCCTGGCCTATCGGGACCTCAGGCCTTCGGCCGACACATCCTCAACGCCGCTTTCCCGCCACGGCACCGACCACCGACCAACATCCCAAAATACTCTAGGGAAACGAACCCCGAACTATGGCTCAAGGATTATCAGCTTGCTTGCCAAGCCGGTGGAGCGAATAATGACGACTTCATTATCCGCAACCTTCCATTGTTCTTGGCCGATTCGGCACGAACATGGTTGGAACACCTTCCGCCCAACAGAATTCAAAGTTGGGCGGACCTGAAAGAGATCTTCGTGGAGAACTTCTAGGGCACTACAAGTGTCCTGGGAACCCATGGGATCTCAAAAACTACCGATAGAAGGCTGGGGAAACCCTCCGTGGATACATTTGGCGCTTCTCCCAGCAGTGCAACGAGCTGCCTAATGTCGCCGACGCCGACATTATTGGAGCTTTCCTGTCTGGGACCACCTATGAGTCCTTGGTTCACAAGTTGGGACGTAAGGGCCCACGAACCACCAAGGAGCTCCTCGACATCGCCACTAGCCATGCCTCGGGCGAGGAGACGGTTGGAGCGACCTTCGATCGCCTCAAAGGCAAGGCGAAGCGGGACGAGGACGCCAACGAAGGCGCCTCCAACCATCCCGTCAAGATGAAGAACAAGCAGCAGCATGAGGGCTCGCTCGTGGCCACCGTCGATCACAAGGGGGGCTAGAAGCCCACGGAGGGTACCTCGGACCACTTTGAGAAGCTGCTCGAAGGGCCATTGTCGGTGTTTCGATTTGCCACCAACAAGTAAATTTCTAATATTGCGCGTCTGGCCCGGATGGTGTGCTAAGAGGACACCAGATTTATACTGGTTCGGGCAGAATGTCCCTACGTCTAGTTTGTTGCTGCTGCTCGTGTTACTAGCACTAAAAGTTTATAGTAGGGGTTATAAACTGTCGAGAGAGGGACAAGTCCTAAGTCTCTGGTGAGAGGAGCGAACAGGCACCGAGGGCTCGGTCACTGCTTAGTTGTATGTTCGGGGTTCGATGAGTTGATTGGATTTGAGTCAAGTTTGGTCTCAAGACAAATTCAGATGTCCCTTGTGGGATGCCCTGCTTTCACTTTTATAGGCCAAGGGAGAGCATGGGTTATAATGGAGGAAGAGAAGAGAACGAGAGGAAGAAGTCCTTTAGGATCACCGGGTCCTTCTCCTTTATGTGGGTCCCACTAACCCTATAGAGGTCAACAGGGATAGCTTCTCGTTGTGGCCCTGTCCATCACTGGCGTCACGTGCAGGCATCGTGTGCCGGTCATGGCGCTCCACTCCGTCCTGGCGGACATCGTGGTGAACTGATGTGCCCATCAGTGTTCATATGGGGGTT